GATGTTAAAGAGTTGAGGAATCCTGCATAAAGCTTTGTCAGTGCTGCTGCGGGATGATGAGCCGTCAGCACTGATGGACTTCATTATCAGCAGCCTGAAGAGAGGCCCGGCCCGCTGTCTCCACTGTAAGACTGTGAGCTGCCACCTGTCTGTCATCTGGAGAATGCAGTTTATCTGCTTGTGAGCACTGTGACAAAGTGACAGATAACTCCCTCTAAACTTTTCATCCAGCATATGCTCCACAAGACAAAGCAATGTGTCATTTCTGGGTTGAAGCTTTGGGATCAGGTCTTGATCCTCCAGCCACTGAACAGAGGTTTCTCTTCATGTATCAATGTGCTAACAGCCTCTTAATAAATCAAACCGGGCACGCAGTGATTATGTAATTACATTATCTCTTTAAAGGATTAATTGATTTAGACCAGCCTCCTAATAGATTAAGAGGTGCTAATAGATCATTTTATAATCCACGTGCTCTATTTAAAGAGCCCTTTGATTAAATGTGTTGAGCGTGTATGTCCCACATGATTTTACTGGAGGGCCGAACACAGAGTAAAGCAACAGCTGTACAATCTAGTGTGATTTAATACAACAGTGCTGCATTGGGTCCTTCATTTACAACGGGTCAGATGCATTTTCTTCAACTGTGTTAGAAGTTGATTGAACTCTATGATCAAGGTCATTCAAAACCAAGATAAGCCCTTTACACTCAGGCATCATGACACTGTTATAAGAATGATGAATGAGCTATTAGCAGGTCCTGTACAGACAGCTGACAGCTATCATTTACTCTGAAAGAAAACTTAATGAAACGTGATGATTCTCAGACAAGCTCTGGAGTTTAAAACAACATCTGAGGACGACTATGGCTCAGGAGGTAAAGCGGGTCATCCTCAAACAGCGATCCCAGTATCCCGCTATTCCACGTATCAAAGTGTCCTTGGGCAAGATACTGAACCCCATATTGCCCCTGACAGCTGTGCAGTGTGTGAGTGATGTATGGTAGAGAAGGTGCTTCACATAGATGCACTGTATGACTGGGTGTGAATGGCCAAATCCTTACTGTAAAGAGCTTTGAGAGCTCATCAAGTATAAATACAGACCATTTACCATTTTAATTCCTGTGATCTGAGATGGAGATCAGAGATAACTATACCCTCCATAAGTGCATCTCACTGAAATCAATTTTGACACTCATTTGCATCGGAAGCCTCTATGGGCTGCAAGTCAAAGTCACTGCTGCGGGTACTGATGACAGAATTGGTGAGGAGACCAAATTAAAGGGCTGAACTACAATAATCTGCTTCCTGGTATCAGTAGAACGCTGGAATGCTGCTCTCTTTCCTATATTTGCTTCATGTCTCTCCTGCAACAATAAGATGTGGCAAAAGTCAAGCGTCTGACGTGTTGATTTAAAGCTTGACGGTGGAGATGCCTGACACTTGATGCTGATACAATCATCCTAATTACAACATCCAATCATAGTTTTTAAGGTGTGTGTTTGTGTTCTGTTGCAGAAGTATAACATTTAAGGCAAAGTTTTGTTTTAATCTCTCTCTGCTTCCCTGGTAAATTCTCTAATATTTGGTCGTAATTCAAACTGAAGCTTCGAAGCCCCAGAAATGTGAGTATTGGTGAAACAGCCTTAGTCACTAGAGTGTACGCTGTAACTGTGTATTGCATATAGAGGCCCCCGGGGCACCAACATCTGGATCTGCTAATGCCTCATGTTGCATCTTTTACATGCATCCGCAATGGATCAAATGACTAATAGCTATTCCATTTAAAGACCAATGCCCTGTTTTTCCTATTTAGAACAATTGTTAGTATGTTTACATTTTCAGCTAATGTACACTCTTATTGCTTCACTCTACAATCAGTGTGTAGAACTCTCTCGCACATTCTACTGTGTATCTCCAGCTCATGACATATTTTACATGTGCTGATTCAAAGAATCTATTTCTGATACATCTGTACAGGTGAATTGTGCTTTTCTCATTTCTTTTATATAAATAGAAGAAATGAGTGTTTATCATGAACAGTGAAACCTCCCCCCCAGCCCATATGACCTCTATAAATCCAAGAAGCAGATATCACAGCACCAGTCGTGATGTTTGACACTGAGAGGCTGTAGAGTATAGATTCTAAATCTTTCAAATGAATATCTTTCAATCTAAGACCCACCTCTGAAATAAAACCAGTTGAAGGCTGGAGGCCAGAGAGAATTTACTGCCAAATCCTAACTCAAGCCTGTCCATCCGTCTGCCTGTCTCCTCTGGGAGAGCTGAGGCAATGTGCAGTAAAAACAGTGGCGAGGCCTTGTTCGCTGGGTGAGCGATGGTGGTGACTGCTGTGAGAGGCTGTTCACTGCCGGCTTTTACTATTTATGTTCCCGCTCAGATACCTAGAGACTGGCAAGTGTCACCACTCCTTCCATACACTCATGACATATGGCCTGGCCTGGTGTTTATAAGAGGACAGAGAGGAGAGCATTGGGCCTCATTCACCAACCAAATGTCTTCTTAAAACCCACTTACGGAGTTTTTACCGATATTCTGACATTCACCAATGTTCTCCTATTTGGGATTTATTCTTATGTAAGAACAGAACCTCTCTTACGCACACTTGACAACTGAGATGCTTGTGGAAAATAATATTTTTTACTTTTCATTCTACGTTTGTATTATAAGATTTAAATTGTTTTATCATTTTTGTCTTTAAAAAGTTTAAATAGACATTTTAATTGTTTTAAACACATGGAAATCTTTAAGAGGAGAACACACGGAATATTTGGTCTATACTGCAAAAGATAACACTTTTAAAACACATGAGCATGTTGAAGAGGAGAATTATTATCACAAAAATAGTCACCCATCTTTAGGTTTTAACACTGGTGTTGACATATTAAATGTGTCACATTTTGCATAGTTTGACTGATTCAGCTTTTAGTTTTAAGGTTCCATCCAAGTGAAGCCTGTTTATTGTGAAAACCAAGTTTATTTCTGTTATGAGACGAGAGATGGCTCAGGAGATGCAACCACACCGCACCACTCCGAGCGACCTTCCCCCTCTCTCTTCTGGGTTTTTGACTAAATCTGAGATCAAACTAAATTTTTCTTCAAATATGTAACTCTCTTCGAATAAAGCTTTCACAGTACGTGTGACTGTGTCCCATGTATCGTTTTTTTTGTGGTATTTAATGTTCACTGCTGACACTACTAAATATAACAACTTTTTTTGTGGTTTGAATAGATGTTCGTTCAATGATTCCTGGCTTCTTCAATGTTAGATCAAAAGGATGCCATATGTGAACAATCCTGCAGTTTCAAAACACAGGAAACTTCTTAAGAACATATTTATGAAATTTCTTGAGAAGATATTGGTGAATGAGGCCCATTGTTCTGTGAGGACAATGCTGTGCTAAATGCTATACTGCATCATTTCCATTTAAAAGAAATATGATTGAGTTTAATAACATTTAGTGGCTAAAAAAGGTTTAATAGTTTCAAAAATGGTGAAAACCCTCCACACACCACCTGCCTTTTACCAAAGGACAGAATCTGATGAACATGGAAAACCTTTATACAGAACCACAGATTTGACCCAAATTGATGCAGCTGTCAAAAGATATTTCCAAGTAACTCTCTTTGCACTTCAGAGCCACCAGCGTGGGCGGATCTCTGACTGCCTCTTCCTGAAACCTCTGAAACTTTAACATTGCAGTCTTTAAAATGCAACTTTATCATAAAACATGCTGGAAAAAGTTGCTAATTTAAGAAGGTCTGTGCACTGACATTAAAGTTAACGAGAGTTCACCCACACAGAATTACTGAAAATAACAAGTTCAGAAAGATGGCACTGACCCAGTATCTGTATATCTCACAGCATGCATGTGGAAAATTCTAAGTACGCAGCATCATGATTAGTGTCACCTTTTGCATATTTTCCGGTCTTTGAAAGATGAATTGAGGAAACCATGAATCTATCTTAGTCACATCTTCATTAAAGAGGTAAAAAAATAAAATCCCATCGTGTCTATGGTTACAAATGCATTTTCTATATTCTTGCACTCAATCACGAACTGTGTATCTGTGAATCATCTGAGGGGGAGAGACACACAACCATAGCAAATAGTAACTATTTGCTAACTCTGTATGTGTTGTCATGCTACACCTGTTTATCTGACTGCCATCTAGTGGCCAAACTATCAATGACTACATGTTGAAACGAGTTTGAGCGATCGGTTGTTCTAACTTTTGAATCACTGTCTGACACCATTTGTTGTGTTTTTGTTGAGATGTCCATAATCTACTAATCTTAGAGAACACACAGGGTGATATGCATTATGTGCCCTTGTTTGAACCATTTAAGATCTCAATATCGCACCAGTTACACTTACATTTATGTTGTAATGTGAGTGTACACAAGCAGAACAACACATATTACTACTTAATACTAAAATACTATAGTTTACAGAGTAAACACACATGTGGATACACTTTACTACACTACTATACACAGTAGAATGGGACAATAAAACACTAAGCATCTATGTACTGCAATTTCAATACTGTAAACTGGCCAGGTCACTTATCAAATGTTGTTGTGCTCCATGATGCCTCTGCAATATTCATTTTTTTGTGCATTTTACCCAAGGCCTTCAACAGTGGAAAGCATCATGACCTCTTTTCTTCTACAACTGAAGAGGCAGAGGCAAGTACAGCAGTGCAGAAGTAGGTCAGAAATAACTGTTTCCATCAGCCTTCATCTTTCATTTTTGATAAGTCCATATTTCCAGCTCAGCCATGTGTAGCAACTACTTTTGGAAATTTCTGGCAATTTCAAGTTTTTACTTGAAAATTGAGCATGGATGAGTCAATAGTAATCATACCATCATATCATAAATAATTGTCTTTGATTTGAAATGAATAATTGAAAAGAAAAGGTTCTTGCTTGAACTGAGCATGATGCTCCTTGCGTGAAATCATCTTTACACTTACCTTCATCAGGTATGTTGATTGAAACAGGGTGATCGCTGTCCCTCTCCTCCTCCTCCTTCACCTCCCCTCTGTCCTCACTGTGAAGGTCAAACAGCTTTTGACCTGGCTCTCTGCTCTCATACAGACTGACCCCAACTGGCAGCTGAGTGGTGGTTGTGAGATAACGCACCATAGGGGTTGTATGGTACTCAGGCCCCCTGGTGGAGATGGTGCCAAGGTCGGTTGGGATCTTCTTGTACCTGTTGGTTGAGTCGCTGCTCTCGGACTCTTCGTGGCTTTTCTCCTCATGTGCTGAGTTTGTCTTGTAGGGCACATTCTTTCCTCCAACCTCAGTAACACTCTGAAAAGTTGTATTTTCTTCCGCTTCTTCTTCTTCTTCTTCTTCTTCTTTTTCTTTTTCTTCTTCTTCTGCTTTCACCCCTTCCTCACTGTCTGGTGCGACTGCACCCTGGAATTCTTTTTGACCATTTGAACTTCCCCGGGGATGAATTGGGCTCTCTGGACTTATGAGTGTGTACATTGGAAATTTCACCTCATCTGATTGTCTCTGTTGATTGGATTGACTCTCGGTACCTCTGACTGGATGACTATCATTGATGTGACCGTTTGAACCCTTGGGCATAACACTATCGAATACATTTTGGTGATGCGCCTGAGTCTTAGAGCGTCTCTGATTATGTATTGGACTCTCTGAACTCATATGAGTGTACTCTGGGTGTTTTTCACCCTCAAAACTATGATTTAGTGGAAATTCGTCACTGCCAAAACTCCTGTGTGCATGCGATAGATTCTCTGATTCTGTCTTTGTGCTCTGATCATTGAATGAGACACTCTGCGCACTTGTCAGACCCTGTGAGGGCTGCCAAGAAGTAGTGGTGTCCTCATACATATGTGGCCTGACAGTGCTCTGCGGTTCTCTCAGGGGAACATCTGTCACTTCCTCTTTGTATGCAGGATGGTCATGGACTCCATATTGCTCTCTTAGCTCCAGCTTGTTTGGTCTGTCAAAACTCGGAATGGCAGAGGGTCTGTCAAGCGTTTCAGAGCCTCCAGACAAGGATATGACCTTTTCTGAGGAGGACGGCTGGTTGGGGAGGAACAGAGATTGAGGGAAGGTCTCTGGAAGGTCGGTAGGACCATAATCATAGTCTTCTGGCTCCGCCTTATCAAATGGTGCTGGTTTGAAGAGCGGAAGATTTCCATTAGGCAGAACGTGGTAGGGTGTTGAGAACTGATCAGTATGGCCTTGTTGGTCAAATTTGTAGGGGTAACCTTCACGCCTGCTGGCTGTGTCTTCTGTGGTCGCAGCTAACATGGGTTTATGGACTTCCTTTGGATCACAGTCAGGCACAGGGTAGCAAATCAGCTCTCCCCCTTCATTGGGGCAGTGACAGACCCGGCAGGGGTCACTGTGGAAGGAGTGTCCAGCCTCGTACTTTTGCCCGCTATGGACACACCCGATCCGTTCACATTGCATGCAGCCATCTGCAGGCTCTGAAATATCGATGCAGTTTGGCGGCATGTCAGGACAGCTGATGAAGTGGCAGCTGATCCGACCTCCTCCCGCAGGGCAGGAGCACTCTGTGCTGCCGTAGTCCACAAAGTAAGAATCTCCCTCTGGCACTTTACCATTCTTGAATCCAGCATTGATACAATCATAGTATTGGTAACCCTCGCATGTGCATCCTTTCTGTAAGCATGAAGCGCAGCAGCTACCACTCTCCAGCACTTCTTCAATGCAGTTGTCCAGCTGGGGACAGTCCACGCCAGTGCAGTCACGCTGACACAAGCAGACACTCAGGTAGAGAATAAGCAACGCACACCTCAGCAGTGCTACTTCAGCTCTTATGAGACAGGCCATGGCACCTGGTGCACGGACAACAATCAAAGGAGATCAGGTATCATCCAAGGCTTCAAGGATTCTGGCACATTCTGCTCGTCTGAATCACCTCAACTGCAAGAAATAACAGAGACAGAGAGAGACAGACAGGCAGACAGAGGCTTAGTTCTCAAAATGAAAGCAGACCAACATCTGGCTCTATAGTTGAGCACAATAAAGTCCAATTCAAACAGCCTTATAGTTATCCTAACATTAAGACTGCATCTCCCCATTAACGTCCAACGTCCAGCAGTAGTGTTTAGCATTATTATAGAGACTGCAATGATGAAAAGTTTCTACCACATCCACGCGTACTTGTCCATAAAACAATCCTGTGTGTCCAGTTTAGAAATGAACATAAAGTAGATGCTTCGTAATGCTTCAGCAGTTGAGTCTTGCTGGAAACTAAACACACTTTATGGAAGCAATTAGTGGAGCACAGACCAAAGGGCACAGTCTCCTTCGACTACTGTTCCTTGCTGTAAATGATGTGTTTAATAAGCATTGCAGTTTCAGACTCAAAGGGACTCACACTTCACACAGTTCCGTTCTGGATTCTGTTCATTAGATCAGTTCATCAATAGTAAGCAGAAATCAAAGGTGTTTATTCATTAGTGAATTAATAACATCTCTAGGTAAGTGTGTAAAATAAAATCAACTTTAAAATCAAAACTTCAAATTTGACACAGATCTCTTCTAATTTGAAGAAATGTGACAATATTTGCAAAATGACCCCCTTTAAGAGAGATCTAATGTAACATTAACGAGGTTGAGCATTTATAATACATACAGGCTTTTCCTAGGTCACGTCTGCAAGTAAACACACCCCCCACATCAAACTCTAGCTGAGCAGATATTCATGACGTATCTGAGAAGTGTGGGATTTGACGCCAGTTTGTTATAACTACTGATGTCAGACATAGGTAAGCCTGCTCTAAATGAGCAGTTAGTCTCACAATCTGTGTATCACTGCATATCTGTTTGTCTGTCTGTCTGTGGAACGCATATCTTTTAGAACGTTTATCTTTTCCGTTTCACACTTGAATTACAGTGCTCTTAATTTGAAAACTTGTACACTTGGGTCTAAAGATTGTGACGATTTCGTAACAGTTCTCTGAAATATCCAACTTGCAACTTGTGAAAAACTAACAGCGGTTCAGTGAATCATTCAAACTAACATATAAATCACACACATAAACAGTCATAAAGCTAGTTCAGTTTCATTTTATGAAAAAAATGTAGACTAGGGGATCTGTGAAAAGAAATGGTTGATCATTGATGCACAATGGTTTAATTACAGATAAACCAGGTAGACAAAGTTTTCTAACTTCACTCTGCATCATAGACTTTTTATGAAAAGCTCCACACTTTCACACATCCACCAATCAAAAAGTATACATGATTGTATTGTGTCATTACTGTTCCATTAATGCAGAAATAAGTTGTTAAAGTGTTTAATTTGAAAATACGTGTTTTTTGTCACATTTCTTCTTCTCATAAAAAATGAAACTGTATATTTTCTCTATATTTTTACAGCTTCAATCATTTCCCATCTATAAGACTGATAATAATGTACACAGCACATGGCTTAGCCTCATCGACATGAATGAAATGAAAACAATTGTGTTAGACCACAAAAATCTTCACAAAGCTCTATAGTAGTCTTTTGTTGTGGAGTTGACCATTCAAGAGAGACTGGTTCTGATATGTCAGAGACAAAGAGTCTGAACCACAAAATGCAATGACTGAAGAAGGGATGTATGAAGAAGGATAGTTGGAATAGTTCACCTCTTTTGCTCTAAATCTTTAATTTTCTGAGCTGGAGCTCCTGTGACAGCCTGCCTGAGGGGACAGCCAGCCCCTGCCTGCCCCGAAGGTCTTCTCACCCTAAACTGAGCTCATTCCCACCCTGAGAAGTGGACATCTCTGCACTTCTGTCAGGGAAAGTGACATGGATCATTACTGCACCAGGCATAATACAAGTTGGCAAGGTGTGGCTGCAGAATGCAAATGGAGAAGTATTGAGCTGCCTGGTGTTTCCCAGAGCAGTGAGGAATGGGGGGATTCCTCTCTTACTTTCTCCACACACACACACACACACACACACAAAGCTTAGGTCTAAACAGTCCCTGATGTAAGGCAGCTCTGCCAACATGCACAGAAAGGAGAGGATTTGTTTAATGAAAACAAACTGTGGCAGAACAATTTTTTTTTCTGAGAGGAAACGTGTCTACACAAAAGACTGGAACACAAGCAGGGACACACGTTCACACAGGGAGAGAGTGGAGATGAAGTTCTGCTGTGTGCTGTAGACAATCTGGAAGCAACAACCCAAATATGACAATAACATAATAAGTATGTCACAGGGTTTTTCGCGCTTTTGTCAGAAATGTGTGCAAACAGGGACATTAACAACTTTCCTGTTGTGCGCAAAAAAAGCTCTGCAACCTGTCACCCCCTCCACCTGAAACACTTCTCCACTTCACCTCTGAGAGCCAAAGTTTGACAAAGTAACTCAAAGTAGAACTGACTCGTAAAGTTTCCACCGCAACATCCATGAGTTCGTGTTTTCAAGCACGCGAACACAGTCTCCGGCGAACAACAGAAACCAAGCAGCGGTGCGTGTTACCTTGTGCTGCGCGCAGTGCCGGGGCTGGAGAGCCGCCTGCTGTCCGTCCTCGGAGCGATGTCGGTGGGAACCTTATGAGCATCGCAGCGCTGCTGGCAGCGGCACCGGCGGAAGAGGAGGTCCGAGCTAAGGTTTCCCTGCTGGAGACTCCGGAGGAGATCCAATCATGATCCATGATGAAGCACAGGCTGCACCGCAGGGCCGGCCCACACCACGCCACAAGATCTGAAGAAGTTTAAAACTTCAACATTAAAAAAGAATTAATAATAAATGAATAAATATATATATTACTAATTAATTTGTGTAAGTGCTTATGAAGACAAAAGCTATGGTAGAAAACAGCATTAACAGCTCGTGCACAAGGTGAATGAGTCAAAAATAAGATGCAGCATGAAACAGAATATACATTTGAAAAATGACTTGTAAAAAATCTGTTCAACTAAAGGCTGCTGCACACTAGAGTTTCAACTCTTGACTGATTTTAAAAAACGTGGGAGACACAGATATAATAACAGATTTACCTGATTTTAAATCTTATAATCTCCAGAACACACTCACTAGATGCAAACTATGTCACAATGGCGATTCCAGAGACTTGAAATCTCACAGAATCTCGCGAGTTATACTCTGCTACTCTGTTAGAACCGATTCGAGATCGGGGAGGCTCCAACTCAATCAGATTATTTAGGCAGATAACTGGCACAGACTGACCAGTCAGGAACGCCCCCGCAGTTGTCATAAGGGGCAAATTGATTCCTTAATCTGCTGATTATCTTCTAGTGTGCAGCAACTTTAACTGACTAAAAGTGCAGTGAACTCAATTGGCTTATGGAGCATTCAAAACAGACGTAAAGTGAATGTTTGACTCATTGAGATCACACACAAAGTCAATGCAAAGGCACACATAGACAGAAATTCTTCATCGTTCATGCCAGGTGGCACAGGTGGCTTCACTCACTTGAGCGAAAAAAATTCACGTAATGCGTTGTCTTACTGGAGACGGATCCTGGCACAAAGAGTGACAAAGAGTCTCTGCAACAGTTTGACGTCTAAGAAACTGACATAATGTGTCAACTGGGAGTTTAAATTTGAAATTCAATTTGAAATTTTACATCAAGCCAAGCTAGCTGTTCACCCTGTTTCCAGTGGTTAAGCTAATTTATATTCAATTTAGTTTGTCCATTGAATTTCACACACACCCAGAGAGTCATGGTGCTACTGCTCTCTCTTATATTTCCTTTAGAGCCATGTCGTCAGTCCCCAGGGTAAACTTAAGCTGCTGTCCACTGCTGTAGTTTTAAGGATCTTGCATGTACCTCTGAAACGGAAGGCCGTGACCTTGGCTAAACAACAGCCTTGTGCTCACATCATTAGTCATGCTGCTGTCTGTCTCGGCCAGTTGCAGCCCATGCGTGACACAAGGCCACAGGCTATCTCTACAGCCCACAAAGACTAAAGCTGAACTACAGGCCTGCTTTTAATTACCCGTTTGATCCCACACTGAACACTACTCCCTGGAGGGATGAGGATACATGACATGTAAGTGAGCATGTCTCTGCATTCACACGAGGAGAAGAAATAATTCATCCTTAAATGTTTTGATATGTTTCCACCTTTTGGAGGGATCTTGACCCCGTAACCACAAATGGCAGAGTAACTTTACGACTTCAGAACAATCCTGTGTCTCACTTTCACAACACCCTCCCTCTATTTTGAAGTGGACCCTTTGGAGGGTATCGTAAATCTGACACAATGCAGCTCCTTCAGAAGACGTCTGAGTTCAAAGAGTTTGGGGAGGGGGAGTGCTGTTTGGGATAAAAATGTATCATGCTCGAGGTTTAAATGGACTCACTCATCATGTTGGAGCGCAGTGACCTGATCGCCAGTCTGGACCCCACCCAGCAGCCTGCAGAAAGGTTCTAATGAGAAGCTGCATGGGCCTGGGGTGAAGCGGTGGTCGGTGCTGTGGTACACATATCAGCCCTGATCGCAGATAAGACCACAGCCAGGGGAGTGGGCCAGCTTTCAGTCTGAGATGAGAGATGAGGTAAAACAATAGAGAGGACTCAGATTCAGAGTGTTCAGGGCTGGGTCAGTGGAAGGACATGTCAGAACTTGCTTGTAGGCCTAAATGTTTTATTCAGTCGACTCTACTGAGGACCAGCTGCCTTATAAAAATAGCCTTGGCTGTCACAGCACGGCTCAGGAGTTGACTGCAGTTTTGGTTTGAAATCACACTGATGACACAGTGTGAGATAATACCATCAGAGAGGGGTTGCCATGGTGCGGTGAACACATTCAGGTTTTGCATGTGCATAACAAGATCAGGCTCAGCCCCACTATAAAATACAAGGTGAGACTCGACAACACAAGGGTGAGATTTGTGGAATCCCAGTGCGATCTCCGGGGAGAGCCGTCACAGGCAAACAAGGCTTTGAAATAGCCGGGGAGGCCTCAGGGAGTCAGGCTTCATGTGAGGGATCACCAGGGAGCATCTGTCTCAAGACTAACTGCTGTCCCTCTTGTACGGTTCACTGAGGACAGGCTTGGAATGGGGTCTAAAAAATCTATGTATCATTACTGTATCACATGTAAGTTTCACATATCTGTAGAATGATCGCTTAGGGCGGGTGTCAGTTCAGTATACGTAAAAGAACATTTAAGCATGGAACAATCTGAGGATAACTTGTGATCCCAGTTTTGGCCCAAAGTGTAGACTGCTATCACTATCATCCCCAGCTGGAACTGGAGGAAATTAAGATCATGTTATATATGTGCAAGATAATCACCTCTTTGTCATGAACGCTAGCTCCTTAATAAAAAGTTCTGGAAGTGCCAAGCTGTATCCTGTCTGCATTCTCCAGACTATGATCACAGTCAACAGAACACAACATAACAAAGTATCAGTTTCATTGTTTCATTGTTTCATGAGCTTGTCACCATGTTGGCAGAGGAATTGTGGGTGGAGATCATTCGGAAGGTATTTGCATCACATCATAAATTTCTTATATTAAAAGTATTTATCAACTTTTAATGCATATGTAGTGTAGATATTGAGTCTGATGGGATTTTCATGTTTATCCTTGCCAAGCTTGTTCTTGGAAACTATAGAAACTAGTAAAGCAGTAAAGCTGATACCACTAAGGCCCAACAGTCCCCTTATGAATCCACATATACATTCTCTACATCCAGATTTTAATTGGATCTGCACCAAACTGCACACATGCATAAATATCAGTCCCCTAAATATATCTGATATTCTTTATAAAGATCCATGTCATATTCTTTGGGGAATCAATGAAAATTTCCAAAACCTATCTTATAATGTTGTAATGTTAAGAAAGTATAAAAACAAAACCTGTCCCTGGATCTGCTGCTTTGTCTGGACCCCTGCCACAATCTGATGGGTTCTTCCTCGGCCCATGTCCCATCCTTCCATTAAGTTTTGTTAATCTCAATTCAGTAATAGTTGTGTTATCCTGCTCTCAACCAATTGTATGCATTCTTTTTTGACCCATGTCTCATCCATCCAACCGATGGAAGGTAGTGGAAACCTTCTTGGCACAGGTCATAATTTTGATTTATTTTTATGCCACAAGTTTTAAACATTTCCATAAAGTGTTGGTTGAAATAATGAAGAAACAGTTGCATATTCACACATCCAGCAAACACAGAGCAACATTATCATTCATCATTGTAATGTATCTGCTCACCTGACAAATGTATTGTAATATTCACTCTCTCTTACCTCTTTGTTATAATAAGGATACTATCTCACTCTTTAGCTGCTAAACGCTCTGCTTTGCTCACCACCTGTCTGTCTGCTCTTTGCAAAAGGTTATGCTAAAATAATTCCAGATGCTTTCCAATACACTTTAATTCACCCCACGCCTCCTAAATGCTTCTCCTTACACCACATCACAACTCTGATTACAGCCCCTCTTGGTTTTACATGTAAATCAGCTTATCCCTCCAGTCCAGGAGAGCTGTGGTAATGAACCTGAAGCTATTCATGAGCATGGTCAGAAAAAGGATAACTGAAGCAGTGGAAGTAGCAAAAAGAGTTCAGCCAGATAGCTCATGATCAGGCAACAACTGGACACTTGACATGAAGGGTACAAATGGCTCCCTTTTCTCCTCTTAAGATGCATGGAAGTGACAAAGTGTAATGGGGTAAATAGAGCTGGTTGATGAATTGTTCAAATGGGGATAACGGCGCACACCTTCGCTCTGCAAAGACGATAGGAGATAGCTTGATGAAGAATGAAAGAAGAGCTTGAGAGAGGAGCTCACTTACTGACCTCTGTACATTTTCTGCATAATGATTGACTCAGTTCAGAAAGGTGTGGGATGAGAGAGCTTCACGTGCCATATGATGATCCAGCCTGATCCAGCACTTGGCTTGAGGCAAACTGGGACCTTTACTGCAATACAAATAGCATCTCTTTGTCCTGTCAGGTAATGCTGTGCTCAACTTATGATTCAGAGTCTAACTGGCTAAAGTCCTGTTACAGTACTTTCTTATTTTGTTTGGACAAAACAGACAGAACTGGGCACATTAGCCACCTAATGAAGCCGGCCCCTCATTACACTGGGTTGGCCGCACACACATACCACCTCCATGTGCTGAGCAGTTCACACACGGGTCACAGAATATCCTGTCTGGCTGCAGGTGAAGTGATTAGCATGCAAATGATCTGCACATTCTATTTTCTTTTTTTACATATGCTGTGTTTCAAAACAGTTATTTCAAAAATGGAACACAGACTATAATGCACTCTGGTAGATGGTGGTACCATAATGCAATGCACTTTAGTGTAGCCTGTTATTTAACTGCATGATTAAATAAACTACAGCGAAATTTAATGTCTGGAATGTTATTGATTCAGTAAATGTCTTATTGGCTAAAACATCCAGGTGAATAAATACATGAAATTACTTCCAGACTAACTGTATTCAGATGGGAATGTGTACTAAGTGTAGAAGTAGAATATTTTGAGCAGTTTTTCCCTAATCACTGAGCAACTATAGGAGCCTAAAAGCCTCAGAAACGTCTGCCTCCTCTTTGTGAATA